TTATTTCATTCTACTAACAAAATTAGTGAATTGTCCCCATGCATTTCCATCATCAAGAAGTCCTCTTGTCATTCTCAAGTATGTGAATGCTGTTAATCCATGTTGTTTACATTTATTGATGATTTGATTAAATCCATTAGTATTACATCCTCCATATCCACATAATTCAAGTGCGTTTTCTCCACATTTGCCAATTCCAACTGTTCCTGCTGCATTAAATGCTTGATCAACTAAATTAGCTGGTGATGACCCACAATTTCCATCAGTTCCACTCATTTCAAGACAGGTAAAGTCAAATCTAACATTATTATTTTTGAATGTATTAGAAAGTGTTTTGTATGCATCATTTCCATTTGAGTTGTAATATCCAGCTGTCATTTCAGCTGCATGTGATTGGTCATTATACCACCAATGAACTCCTGATATTTTACCTGCAAGTGCAAGTGTATTTCCAAATACATTTCTTGCTGCTGAAAGAACTTTATCTGTATGACTTAATAACAAGTCAAAATACCATTCTTGGAAGAATCGTCCATATTCACTTGGGTAGTTATCAAATCCATTTCCAAAGAATCCTGTTGATGAGGGTGGTTTAGAATTATAATTTCCTGCATTTGATGGTGATCCATTTCCCCATTCGGAATGTCCTTTATCTGTTGCTGCTTTTTTAAGTAATTCTTTTGACTTACCATCATTACATTGGAACTCTCCTACTCCACAATAACTCCACCTTGAAAGTGGATATGATGGATATCTAGTTTCTCCACATGGTCCCATACCAACTTGAATTTCATTAATTGTTCCATCATCAATATAACTTTGGAAGTTTTGTTTAAATGATGTCATAAAGTCTTTATAAATTTCAATTGGTGTTCTTCCTTCAAAAATAGATGAATCATCATATGCAAATGAAATATATTCATTATTAACATTATTTTCATTGTCTTTAAAGAACGCATCATTTGCTGCTCCTGCATTTCTTACCCATTGGGGAATTTCAATTGTTACTGAATCTCCTACATTTCCTCCACATTTATGGAATGACATAACTGCTTGGAATTTTAATCCTGCTTTTTTAACCATTTGAACTAATTCTTTATATCCATTCCAATTGTAATTTCTTGGTGATGTTTCTACAAGTCCCCACCAAACATCTGCCATAACACCAGCAACTCCTCCTGATTTAATTTTATTTAAGTCATTTTGAAGTTGTCCTTTATTATTAACTCCATTGGAATTGACTGTATCAAGTGGCATCATCAAATTGACTTCAGTTGCTAAAGCCAAAGTAACTACACTTAAGAAGAATATCATTATTTGAATAATTTCAGTTTTGTGTTGTTTAAATCATTGATTTTCATGAAAAACAATTTAATAATACTTTTCAATCAACTTTTCTTTTTGATGAATAAACTCTTTTAATCTTTCTTTTGAATTTTCTTTTCTCTTTTTCTTTCTTTTGAATTTTCTTCTAACTTTTCTTTTTTGTTATTTAATACAAAAAATATATTGTTTTAAATAACAATATTTTTTACTTTTCCTTTAAAAAACTTCCTGTATAAAAAGATGAATTACAAAAACACCACAAAAAAAGGACAATTATTAGATATATCCATAATTAGATTTTATGAATATTGAGAAGTGTTTATTTCAGTTTCTTCAATATGCTCTATTGGTGTAATAGAGTTCATTTCTAATACACTCACATTAAATTGTTCTTCTTCTAATGTGCTGCCAGAATTGAATATATAAAACATTAAATCTTTCATATTTTTTATAATTATTGTTCGTAGGATTTTGGAAAAGTTTAATTGTAATTTCAGTGATTTTACTCTTCTTCCTGATTCTTTGTGAATTAATCCATTTATTGATAATATTACAGGTATTATTTCTACATATATTAATTCTCTATTATTTCTTAATTTCTCTTGTAATTCTTTGTATTTATTTATTTTATGAATATAATTTAATTCAGATCGAAGGTGGCATGTCTGAAACACCACACATAAACCCTAGTACAAATTCATTCTTCGACTCTCCAAGTCATTGTCTGGTTATGACGGTGCTTTTGAATTAGGAATGTATTAGGGAATGCTGCAAAGGGTGCAGCAAGAGAATACAGTAGAATATTACATGGATGTAATATAAGAATCTACTGAAGTGTGGGTATGACTAAAAGAAGATTAGTCAAAGTAAGACTAAAAAGAAGATTAGTCAAAGTAATATAGTAGTAATAAAATGATTCCTTCTCCCATTCATAAAATAAGAAAAATGAAATTCCTTAAAATTAAGGCAGAAAACAAACAAAGGCTTAAAAAGAAGAAATAAGCAGAAGAAGTTTGAAAAACCTTAATAGGAAGAAATAAAAGAAAGAAGTGCTTTCCTCAATTTGCAAGAAAAACATAAAGAATAGGTTTAACAAAGAGATTACTCTTTTTTAATAAGCTCAGGGATGGGATTAGTCTCCCCTGAGCTAGGAAGAATAGATGAAAATTCTATTAATACTTAATTAATTACTTTTTATATGTATAACTTCATTATGATATTTATTATATAATTAAACATAAGTGTTATGTTATTATTATAACATGTAATAAGTGATAAAATATAAATGAAAATGATATGAATATATGATATAGAATATAAAACAAAAGAATATTAAGAATAAATGATAAATAAAACAAGAAATGATAATAAATGATATAATAATAAATAAAAAGTATAAAAGATAAATTTAATATTAATATAAATTGAAAATAGATATAAATGATAATAATATAAAAATGATAATAATATAAAAGATGAATAAACAAATAAACAAATATATCTAAATATAAAAGAATAACAATAAGAAAATCTAAAGAATATAAACATAAAAATAATAAAATAAGAAGAATATAATAATATAATAATATATAGATAATAAGAAGATGATAGATAAATAATATAAACAGAGAAATAAATATAAAAATACGATAGATAAATAACATATAAATAAAAGAATAAAATAATAAAAATAAATATGATTCATCAAATCATTTATTTCATTAATATTTCATACAAAATGAATATAAATGATTATAAAATATAAACATAAATATTTATATATTCTGTATTTATCATATTTTTTATTTATTTTTTTATTTTAGGAGCAAAATATAATAAATGGAATATTCTATGGATGCAAATTATTTTGCATCTTTTTTCTTTTTTTTGTAAATTATTTAGATGCATTTTTTCTTTGCTAATTTTCGTACCCGATACAAATCATTTCAATCATAAACATCGTCATAAACACTTTAATAATAACTTCAATAGAAATAAGCAATATGATCATAATAGAAATAAGCAATATGATCATAATAGAAATAAATACCATAATAAAAAACAAAACCAACTCAGGAGTAAAAGAAAAGATAGAAAAAATGAGTGTAATACAATTAAAAGAAAATATGGTGGTAAAGAAATAAATGAATTACAAGTGAAATTAAAATAACATAGTGAAATAACATTATAATGAAAGATAATAACAATAAATTAATCAACAATGTAATTGTAAGAAAAAAAAAGACATTCAAATTACAAGTAGATTTCAGCAAAATCGATGGAATAATAATAAAAATTATAAAAGATTTAAGTTTTACACAAACAACTTTGATAATATATTAAGAGGAAGAACTTTCTTATCAGAATGTGCTGGAAAAAAAAAACGTATGCTATAAATAGAAAATATGAAATTCACTAAATTAATCACTTTTTTATTATTCATAAAATCAACTTATTGATAAATTTATTATTTGTTTTTCTATTATTTTTTTTAAAAAACTTTTACTTCTGTTGAATGAAAATGTTGAAACGAAAAGTTTTTTTTCTATAATTACCTTCATAACAAACTAAAAACAGTTCTATTTTATTGAAGTGAATAACATTAGTTAAAAATATAAATACTTATAAAATTGTTTTCTATTTCTATGTTTAAACGATGGATATTTTTCAAAAAAAAAAAAACAAACTGAGTTGGAAATAGAAAAAAGCAAAAAAAAATTCTTTTCATAAAAAGAAGTAACATCCAATTTTTTTCAGCAAAACCATAACTTTCGCTTATATAGAAAATGGATAGTTTATATCCTCGTATAAAAAACAAACTCAAGGAAATTGGCTATTATTAGATACAAAACAGAAGATGTTCTTGTAAAAAGTTTTCCTTCTTATTCTTAAACCCTTGACTCATCTTAAATATTATTAATGTTTATATTGTTCTTATTGATAAGCGTTGCTTTTGTCAACGCTGCTGACTCAAGTCAGGGAATTGACAATTACCCTTATGGTAAAAAAAATACCAATGCAAATTTTAACGTTGCTTTTGATAGTAGTTACAGTAAATATCAAGTTCAACAATATGCTGAGAGTGGAGTTTTTAGTGCAAACCAAGAAAATTATGTTCGTGCTAAGTGTAAAACATGTTGTAGAGTTATTTTTGCTTCTGATTATAACTACAAAACTAAAAAACCATTTACTGATGCTGATGATATTCGAGGAGATGATAGATATGTCATGGATATGGAGTTTGATGATAAAAGATCAGTCAGATTTTATCAAGGAAATTATGAACAAAATATTTTACTAAGACCATTGAAACAAGAAAATGAACTTCAATTCTTTGAATTTGCACCATATAAAATGTATACATCATTCTCAATTCCAAGAAGAGTACATGATATTAGAGGAGGTGCTAATAAAGGAGCAACTCTTATTATTTGGATGAAGAAAGCACCATTAGATCCAGGAACAAATAATCAAAGATTTGTCTATGTCCATCCATACAAAACTGAATGGTATCCAGAATACAATAATAGAAACAAATGGCCAAGTTATAGCAAACATTTCTATCTCCCATTCTCTAATAATAATCTTTGTTATCAAGCAAAGAGTGAAGGAGAAGAAAGATCTACATGGACTGGAAATAGACATCTTACAACAACTACTACAAGTTATCAAATTGAAGCTGCTTCTTGTGATGCTGGTGAAGCAAGACAAATTTTTATTCCAGTCTTTGCATAAGTTTTTTCAGTTAAATTAGTAATTGTTTCTTTTTTATTAAAGAAATTAAAAAGATTTTGTTTTGAAAACACCGTAAATAACATTGAATTTATTGTTTAATACTTCAATGAATATTGAATATAATAGTAAAAATGTATTTATAATTTAAAACATAATGTATTATATTCTAATAATATGTGTTTTATCCAGTTAAATTGAATAATGAAGATAACTTTATTTATAATATTTTATTGTATTAAATAAGATGATTATTAAAATTTAATTCATAAGTATTAGCAATAATTAACATTTATAACTCTTTGACAATGAATAAAACAAAGTATAAATTAAATAGACTTATAATAAAACTAAAATCTGGGTTTAGAAAATAATCAAGTAATGAATAAATTAGATATAATTTTATTATATTAAATGTTAGTAATGATGATGCTATAATGGAAATACAAAATAATAATACAAGATTATTTCATTTGACTGATTTATGTCATTTTTAGAATATACCAAACTAATTTTCAAAGATTTTTGGTAGTAGGCATTTCATATTTTTGTTTACCAAATTTAAAATATTAAAAGACTGAAATAATCCCAAGAAACACAATTTTGTTATAAATAAAATTTGATAAGAAAGGAAAGAAGATATTTAAAGAAAAAAAGAACAGAACTTCAAACAAGAAATTAAAATACATATATGAATACATTAAGTATAAAGTAAGAGATGAAAGACTTAATTAAGAAAGAAGAAGCTAGTAATTAAAAGAAGTGAAAGTAGAAATGAAGAAGTACAAAACAGGGAATATAAAATAGAAAGAAATAAGCAAGAGAATCATAAGAGACACTATCAAACAGATAGAGGAGATGAATAAAGAAATATAAAAAGAAGTCAAAACATGTAATTAGGAAATTAAACAAAGTAATGTGAAAGGATAATAATGAAAAGCATCTGATGAGATGACCATTTCCAAGAGTAGAATCTAAATAGAAAAGTAATATGAAATAAAAGGGACATTCAAATGATTAATGTGGTGATCAAATGAATGAAGAAATTAAAAGTAGTTTGAAGTTGTTTTTTGTATTTATTACTTAAGGAAACATTAAGAAACCTTCATGATATACCACAAAGAAATATCATGAACAACTATCCAAATAAATTATTACCTCGAGTTCATGATCCGAGTGTATGGAATTCACATAATCGAAACATGTTAGAATGAAAAGGGATATAAATTGAAAAGGAAGTTGAAGAAAGTAATAAAGAAAATAAACAACTCATAGAAGATAAATCTGTTAATATAAAAATCAAGAAAAGAGAATAACAACAGTAGAAGATAAAGAATAGAGAAAGATTAAAAACATTTAAATAATCAATTTGATTAAATTGATTTTTATGATATATTATTTGAATAATAAAAAATAATAAGTCTCAAAAGAAATATTCTCATAAATCAAGTTAAAATTTTTTTTTAGTATAACTAAATTTAAATAACTCTCAGAATATACAAGATGAATTTTAAATAAGAGTTGTTTGTGTCTATATTTATTTTATATAAAATATTTTATCATCAACAACATTTCCTTATTTATTATTTGAAGTATTAATAAAAAAGATTGTTGTTGTATAAAAATAGAAGGACAATTAAAGGTTAAAGAATTAATGACTATAACCAAAACAATTGAATAATCAAATATTACTTGTTTCTATTCTAATAGAAGATTAAAAGTTTAATAAAAGAAGTATGAACGTTTAACAAGAAGAATAATTTTTTATGAATTGGATTTAATCAAGTTATTCAAATATTATTTGACACAACAACAGCCATTAATCAAACAAACATTTTCTAGAAACTTGTAAATAAAAAAGAATTTTAATGAAGGGTATTTTTTATTTAATTGAATTAAATTAATTTTCTTCTCAAGAAGAATGCTTTTAATGATCTTACTTGCCAAAGAGTCAACAAAATAACAACAACAATAATAATGATAGAGAACCATAAAGTAGATGCATTAGCAGCTTCATTGATGTCTCTCCTTTGATATTCAATTTTTTGACATTCTTGTAAGTATTCAATAATATAAAATGCAGATTTATGAGCTTCATCTACCAATTCTTCAGTATGTGAAATCTTTTCTTTATCAGCAAATTTAGGTGCATTTTTTGAGTTAAATCCAACACTAATATCTAATGATACTATAACTGGTTCTATAGCGTTTTTATCATTCACAGTATCAACAAAACAAAAATCAATGTTTCCATCATCATCTGGTGTAAGTGCATATTTATTTTTTGTCTCTCCTTCTTGTAATGCTTTAACTAAAAGCTCTTCTCCTTCTTCATCAAAAACTTTAAATTCTATTGTTCTTCCTGATAAACTTGTTCCTTCAACAATTCCATATATTCCATGAACTACTTGTCCTTCAAAAACCTCTTCACTAACACATCGAAATCCATTTGTTGGTATTTCCATTGTAAAAGCAAGGCTCAAAGTAATACAAAGAGATAATATGTTTATTACCTTTCCCATTATAATTACTAGTTTTTTGCTTTTTTTAGTTCTTTTTCTTTTCTTTTTACTATTTTGTTATATATAACTATTATAATTACATATCTTTTTTTCTTCTGTTTCTTGAACTTCTGGTTATTAATAATTCTTTATTACTTAACTTTTCATAAACACCGTTTTAGAATGACATTTCTTTGTTTTCTATTAATTGAGCTATATCCACATTAAAAAAACAGTTAGCCATAAAAATAACCATTATCAACGATTTTTAATTTTTATGCTGTCTTTGTTACTCATCTATAACCTTTAGAGACTCAAATGCATTATTATTCTATCATGTTATTTAACTTCTTATTTCTAAATTGAACTATATTGAATGAAAGAAAATACATTTAATTAACTAAATTCATATATTAGTTAGAAATTATCAACCATTAAGTAAACATTATTTTGGATTTAATGTATTTTATTTAAGAACAGTTTGTTTTTATTGTTTTTTATTCTGTTTTTATTGATTTTTAATACTTTTTTTGTAACATTAATTATATACGTTGTATAATAAATAATTAATACTGATGAATATAACTAATAATAAACACATTCTTATAAAGTAATGGTTTGTTGTGAATTAAAAATGTGAATAATTTCACATTATGACTGTGATTTATTTTATTAAATTTAATATTTATTCATTTTGAAGTACAAAAATGAATTTGGTTTTAATTAAATATTGAATTGACTCATTCATTTAA